CAAATTCTAAATCTCTCATCCGGGTGTTCGCATAACTTGCGTGCTTTGAGCGGTCTAATGTTTTCATGATTTTAACTATCTTGGCTGTAGTTTTTATCTATAAGATCCGGACCAAATAATTTTCTATCGTCGTCCTCTTCCTAGAAAAATGATGACCTACTGGGTCGGCCATATAATATCTTATACGGGGCCATGCCGATGCTTGCTTGATAGTTGTTATTGTAGGTGAACTATATTAAATGTAAGTGATCATCTTAATGGTCTCTGAAGTCTAAAACACAAGCTTGGAGCATATCCTCCAGAGTACAAATGTCCTCTTTGATTGTTCATCAGTCTGAGGGTGGAATGAGGTGCTAAGAGATAATTTCGTTCCCATGGCTTGCTAAAAACTAGACCAAAATCGAGAAGTAAACCTAGGAGTCTCTATCAGATACCACTGTCACCAGGACTCCATATAGCCTAACTATCTCTCGGATATAGATTCTTACTAGCTTGTCTAAGGGGTCGGTCATCTTGATAGCCAAAAAGTGAGAGGACTTGGTGAGTCGGTCGTCAATTACCCAAATAACATCATGTCCTGAGCGTGCTTTAGGCACCCCTGTCACAAAGTCTATTGTGATATATTTTCACTTCTACTTCGGGATCGGTAATGACTGAAATAACCTGCCTGCGCGTCGATATTCTGTCTTAACCTATTGATATACCAAGCACTTAGAGACAAAATTGACTATCTCTCTTTTCATCCCGTTCTACCAAAACTGGTGCCACATGCTTTGATATATTTTTGTACTTTCGGGATGTATGACGAACTTTGAGATGTGAGTCTCTATCATAATGTCCCTTTTCAGTTCACTGTCATCTGGAACACACACTCTGTCCTGAAACCTGAGTAACTCATCGACAAAAACTCAAAATTCTGGATTTACTCCATGTTTTGTATCCTTCTTGATAGCTGCTATGGTGGAATTGGTTAATTGGGCTTCATTTATTCTCTAGATCAATTCAGGTTGGACAGTCAGGTAGACCAGACATGCAAATCTCTTCAAATCCTGAAGCCATATATGTTGTGTAGCCCTTATCACCCTGCATTCAGAAACCATCAAATGAGTAAATATATCTATATTTTTTTTGCTAAGCGCATCGGCTACTACATTGCCCTAACCCCAGTGATACAAAATATTACAATCGTAGTCCTTGAGGAGCTCTATTCAACGCCTCTGACGCATGTTGAGGTCTTTCTGAGTGAATATATTCTTCAAGCTCTTATAATCTGTGTAAATCTCAAAAGTCTCTCTATACAATTAGTGGCGCTAGGTCTTCAAAGCGTGAATAATGGTGACCAATTCTAAGTCGTGGGTGGGGTAATTCCTTTCATGACTCTTCAACTATCTGAACCCATAGATTATGACATTCTCATACTGCATCAGAACATAACCCAACTCCAGATAGGAGACATCAGTATATATTGTATATCCTCCTGTCTAACTCGGTAAAGCCAACAC